TTTTTTTTTTTTTAAATGGTTGCTTACGTCTTATTACGGGTGATGATGAGGGGGGGAAGAATACGTAGAAGGGGAATGGGAGGAAGGGTGAAGGAAAAAAGGACAATTTCTTATGTTGCTTCTGCGTTTGTTTTTTTTTTTTTCTTTTGTTTTGTTTTGTTTTGTTTTCTTTGCCAATGCTTACTTCTATGAAGAAATGCATTTCATATGTATATATGCATACATTACCCGTATATATACCTATCCATACCTATCCATACCTATATATATATATATATATACATCCTTGTGTACATCGGCACACATGAATGAGAATAAATGGATACGTTTGAACCTCTCTCTCTCTCTCTCTCTATATATATATATATATATATATATATATATATTTCTCACTTCCTCTCTTTCTTTTACTGTGTATGTGTGGTATGTCTCCTTGTATATATGTATATATATACATATATTGTTGATATTTATACATTCATGTGACTTTTGTTGCCTCGTGATTTCTGTCTTGACTTATCTTCCATTGAAATAGGGGGAACCAGAGAATATACATTTATGCATATTTGTTTATAGAGGAGAAATAACAGGCAATGAATGTGGTGTGTGAGAGACGCATAAAACGTTTGGAGCAGCAGCTACGATGTTATAGACACGCCTACGATGCACAGCGGAAGGTATTATTTGAGCTTAACGCAAAATTACAGGCTGCAGAGACGGTAGAGGGTGCTGCACTCAACAGCGGAGAGACCACCGCCCCACCCGCGCCTACGAGAAGCGAAGAGAATGGGATGCAGATGTCTGCAGTTGTGCCTACTGTTGAATGGGATGAGGCGTTTCGACAGCGCCTGCTACAAGTTCTACGGGACCCATTGGAACAGCAGCAGGCAGTGACTTTCCCCACCGTGGCATCACATGACACGTGTAGCGATGACGCCAATCCTCTTCATGGAGATCGGGAGATAAGAATGCGAAGCCTGGGACCTCCGCGACATGATGCATCGATCAGAAACGGGGATGGTGGCAGCAATACTGAGGATGATGGGGATTCACCGCCGGCCACACGATTGCCGTCAGCAAGGCATGGGTCAAAGGCAATGGAATCCGAGCAACTCACCGCGTCTCTTGTCATTGCGTCGACAGACGCGGCAACACGCTTCCTTGAAATGATGCGGCGGCTGTGGTCGGCGTACTTTGCTCACATGCACTCGCAGGTGCAAGGAGTACTGCGTCGGATGGATGACAACTTCGCTCGCTTTGACGCAAGCCCATCGGAGGAGACGCTTGTGGAATTCCTCGAGGCGCACCAACGACTCCGGCCGCACTTGAGCGGCATTTTCGGAATGCCAGAAGGAGAAGAAAAGGAAGAAAAGGAGGGACAACCTCGTGGGGCTGCATTGCCGTCGGGGAATCCTTTGGAGCAGGAGGGAGTGTTCGTGCAGCAGCTCTCCCTGTGCATCGCGGAGGCGGTGTCGCCCCTGTTGGCTCTCGCCCTCCGCAGTGGTAACAACGGGACGCAAGTCGTTGATGAGAGCCATGACGAGAAAAAAACGCGGTCCTCACGTCAAGGGCGGCATGACGGTCACACGACGCGTACAGCGGCAGCAGCAGCACCGTCACCTGTTTGTTCCGCGCCTTTTTCTCCTTCCAGGTCTCACTCCATGTCGACTGTATTCACCGACGCGGAGGAAAGCGTGACGGAGTCCTTGAAGCCGAACAGGGATGCCTCCCAAGAGGAACTCTTAGATAGTCATAATGGCAACAGAACCAGGAGCAGCGGAGAAAGCACGACGGACAGCAGTGAAGGACGCAATTCACGTGCGCTGGATGTGACCGGAATGGGGCCAAAAGGCACTCACCCCCCCTCCCCCGTTTGCCCCAATCCCGTCAGAAATGACCACAAAACAGACGCCGGCACACCCCGTTTGAACGAGGAGGACGCAGAAAATTATCCGCCGCAGCGACGATGGCGACGAGATAATGACAGTTTGCAGGTGGAGGCGGTACTTTATAGCCGTGGGAGCTCTGCCAGCATGCGTAGTCCGTTGAATGGTCCTGCTGCTACCTCAACGGCTCATCGTGCGATAGGCGAGGAGGAGGAAGTGGAAGTGGGAGGCGCAACCACCAGGCAGAACCCACACACCCGTCTACGGCGTCTGCGCATGCAGGAGGAAAGGTTGTCCTTCACGTTAATTGACATCGTGGCACAACGACATGATTACAGCAGTGAGGCCAAGTGCTACGCCGTGAACAAACGACTTGCACGCGTACGAAGTGCGATAATCCGTACGGAGCGAGAAGTGAATGAACTTCGGCGCATTCAAGAAGAAAAGGAGGCAATACGAAAAGAACGTGCAGCCCGTCAGCGACGTCTTCTTTATATTTAACACCGTATTAAAAAGAAGCAAAGAGAGAAGAAGAGAGTGATGCATCTCTGTTGAGTGCTACCGCCGGAAAGAAACTCAGTCGCATCCATGGATTGTAATAAAAGGTTGATATGGATTGTGCTTCTTCTTTCTCTTCTCTTTCTTAGTCCATTCATACATGCAGACATAGAATACAATGTGTACATACGTCTATTTTTAATTTACATCACACTTGTTTTTTTGTTTTTTTTTAATGGACTGTGGGAGAGTGAGAGGGGCTTAGACATTATGTATATCATGTCATGTTTATTTCATATGAAGATCCTTTTTTTATTTTTTTTATTTTTTATTTATTTCCATCTGTATAACACATGACTTTAACCACAGAAAGGAGGAAGTTTGCATTACGTTACATATGACCTCCTCCTCCTCACTTACGGTGAATGTGCCTGATCATTGGGTGGCAACACTGCGTCCGTACTTGCAGCGGGCGGATGAGTTTGACAAGGTACAACCCGCCATCTCGTACTTTTTGAGGACACATGTTGCCCACCTTGCCATGAAGCAGCGAAAGAAGGACGATCCCGTTGGGACGCAGTACCTACGACAACTTCTCCAGGTTTTAGAGGCGGAAAAACAACGCCTTGGGCAGGAGGTTACGGAAGTGGATGGCCGTACGGTATTGACGAAAACGGCTCTCACATTGTTTTCGAAGGCAGATGACGCGGAACGCAGTGGGGCTCCGGCAGAGATGGGCCTTGTGCGGCTCTTCTTCACCGCCTCCATTCTACTGGACGCAACGGCGCAGTTTTCAGAGAACGGTGAACTTGACCCCATCGCAGCGAAGCGACGTGACTACGCGCGTTACATCGCAGTGCGCATGAAGAAGGCGATTGAAAGCGGCACACCGTACGAGAGCCCCAATGCTCCAGAGACTTCAGGGGGACTCGATGAAATGTTCTCAGAGGATGTGAACGATGATAAAAGGACGCAGGAGCAAAAGCCGGGATTTCCGGCATCAATGTATCATCCCATGATGACGCCCGAGCAACCGCCACCACCACCACCACCGCCGTACCAGCCGCCCAACCCTTCACCACCGCCACAACCGCCGGCGCCGGCAGTGCCCATGATGGTACCCAACACCGGTAGTGTAGCAGATGGTCCTTCAATGGACGCCATGATTAGTGCACAGAAGTGTGCCAAGCAGGCGGTCAGTGCACTGCAATTTTATGATCATGCCACTGCGCGAAAACAGCTTTTGACCGCATTGAAATTTCTTGATGGGAAGTGACACCGCTGTACTTTGGGTAGTGCAACACATGTTGCATTCGGAATGATGCACGTGCTTTATCTCTCTTCTTCGTGTGTATATGTTTTTATGTGGGGAGTTTCGGGATGCGGCTTGAATGGCTCCTACCCACAAGAAAGAAGGAAAGAGAGAGAGAGAGAGAGAGAGAGAGAGAGAGACCGACGCATTTCTATCATTTATCGTACGTGTGGCCCCGTTTCTTTCCATCTTTATTTATATTCAACGGATGTGCCATGTATACGTGGATTGCGGTTTATAAATATATATTTATTATGATCGTTATTATTGTTCTGTTTATGAAGGGTAAATAACACGAATAACCAACCACCCGTGAGAGTGGAGGAAGAGGAGGCATGAATTTCTCTTTTTTTCTCTCTCTCTCCCTCTCTTTCACTCAGTGTGTGTCTGTGGGGAGAGGGATGCTTCAAGATGAGGTCCTGCATGTATTTTATGAGGGAATTTATATATTCTTTTTTTTTTTTTTGTTGCCGTGCCGCTTCCGTAATGACGAATACGTGTATGTTTGTGTACATATACCGGCTGCTCGGTTCTGGGACAGTTACGGAAGTATATAGAACATACAAAAAAGGGGAAAAATAATAATAATAAAAAAAAAGGTAGGGGGGAAATGTTGGAGCTTGCATTCCAAGTTTTAGGCTACATTGTTCTGTGGGCATTCATGTCTGCTGCCACGATGACGGTGGGTGTATGTATAGACTACTGGTGGTTACGTCATAAGGTGTTACCGCTGCGGCAAGAGAGGAGGAAGCTGCAGCGTCAAGGGCCAGAGGAAAAGGACATTGAAAGTCATGTTCTCTATTAAAACGAGGAAGAATAAGAATAAGGAGGGAGAACAAAAAAAATTATAAAACACGAGGAAGTGTGTGTGTGTGTGTTTGTAGAACCCCTGTTTTTTGTTTGTTTGTTTTTTGAATGGGAGAGGTTTTAAAAAAAAAAAAAAACACCACTTCCCATTGACATCCATGCACACACATGTTGGAACGTTGTGGTGTATTTGGAAAAGGGGAGGTGGAGTGCAAAATGGCATTATATATCCATTCCGGCATCATCCATTATTTTTGGTAGAATACATATGTACATGTATATACATACATTTTGTATCGGAATTTGACCAAATGGAGTTTTGTTTTTGTATATATACCGCAGGCTGCCATGTCTCCTTGATTCTTTCTTTCTATATATATATATATAATTAACTCTTGGTTGGTCTTTTTATTCCTTTATTATTTGCTGCCTGTAGACCTCTCTTATATATATATATATATATATAGAAAGGGAGGTGGTGTATTTCTCCTTGGACAATGACGGAGTCCGTCTCTGAAGCTCTCTGGTGGGTGCTTCTTGGCGCTCTCATCCCTCTTGTCACCTTGACGCTGACCACGCTCTTGGACCGCTGGGTGTCTCGTCGAAGGAAGCGGCAAATGGAAGTGGCGAGAGCACAGGCAGCAAAGGAAGGCAAGACAACCTGGATGGAACCCAATGTACACAACAGCACAGGGAAGACAAACGGCAATGGCAGCACCATCCACGACGCAGTGAAGGGGAGTAAAGGGGGAGTAGATGTCAAGAAGATACTTATCGCATATGCCACTCAATCTAACACGGCATGTAAACTGGCACACAAACTGTTTTCTACACTGAGCACCGCGTTGCATGAATCAAGAGATGAAATGCAAGGAGGTTCCTCTTCTTGTGTTTGTTCTGAAGGGCCATCGTCATGCTGCGCCACATCCCACACGGCACGTCATTTGCCCAAATTGAAAGTGCTGCAACTCACAGAGGAGGGGCGACAGTGTGGCGTAGAGTATCTGCTGGAAAGTCAAGCCTATGGCCTTGTTATTCTCATTGCGAGTACATATACAGATGGAACCGCTCCAGAGTCGTCGCAGGTGTTTGCGAATCTTCTGCAGGACGCATATACAGACTTCCGTGTGCCTCGTGATACTCTTGCCAAGAAGAAGTTTGCCATCTTTGGCTTAGGCGATATCGCGTACGGGGAAAAGCACTTCAATCGCTTTGCAAAGAACTTGTATATGTGGTGCAAAGGCCTCGGGGCGACGTTTGTGGTGCCGCCGGTGTATGCGAGTGAGGCAAACACGATTCCCCTTTTTAACGTGTTTGCGGCATCTTTGGTGAAGTGGGTTGGTCGTGTCACCTTCACCGCGGATGGTGTGACGATTTTAAAAAGACAGCAAAAACAGCTGAAGGAAAAGAAGGAAAAGGGGCAACTAAAGTTGTGTAATGATGTGAAGTTACAAGGACATGCCACTTATAACAGCGAAGAAGATGAAGAGGACGAAGAGAGGGAAGAGGAGGATGAAGAAAACGGCAGAAAGAAGCGGAATCACAACAGTGAAGGCGATGTCGAGGATGTCGTGACGGATGATGAGGATGAGGGTGAAGATGTCAACGGCCAAAGTGGCAGTGTGGATCATGCGGTACGGGCTTTATCCAGTGAGCCACCGGAGTTGTTGTACCCGCGGCTACGTCAAAATCTGCAGCGTCAGGGGTATCATCTTGTCGGCTCCCACAGTGGTGTGAAGTTGTGCCGCTGGACGAAGGCGATGCTACGGGGCCGTGGTGGGTGTTACAAGCACACCTTTTACAACATCGTTTCCCATCAGTGTATGGAGATGACACCGAGTCTGGCGTGTGCCAACAAGTGTGTCTTCTGCTGGCGACATCACACGAATCCTGTTTCACGCTCATTTCGCTGGAAAGTTGACCCACCGCAGTTACTGATCGCGGAAGGGATTGCGGGGCATCAGAAGATGATGAAGCAGATGCGTGGGGTGCCAGGTGTGACGCCCGAGCGACTGGAAGAAGGAATGCATGTACGTCACTGTGCCCTCTCACTCGTCGGGGAACCGATTATGTACCCGGAGATTAACACCTTTGTTGATCTTCTGCATGAGCGAGGCATCTCCTCCTTTATGGTGACAAACGCACAGTTTCCTGAGCAACTACATGCATTGAAGCCAGTGACGCAACTGTACCTTTCCATCGACGCCCCCACACCGGAGGAGTTGAAGCGTGTGGATCGTCCATTGTTTGAGGATTACTGGGAACGCTGCCTAGCCTGCGTGCGGGAGCTGCGTCGTAAGCCGCAACGAACTGTGTTTCGTCTGACGCTTGTTAACCAATACAACACGGAGAACGTTGCCGCCTATGCTGACTTGGTGCGACTTGGCTGGCCGGACTTTATCGAAGTCAAGGGCGTCACGTACTGCGGCACAAGTGCGGCATCCACGCTGACAATGAAGGAGAATGTGCCGCGGCACGAAGAAGTGGTACGATTCTGTGCGGCCCTCTGTGAGGCGCTGGCCTCCGATACCGCTCCCAGGGACAAACGAACATGGCTGGGCACCGAGCCGGAGACAGGACCCTTACAGCGCGATCTTAACTGTGATGAGAAAAGGACGTCGGTTAACAACATGGAGAATAACAACAGGAGGTGTAATCGTAAGGATGAGGAGGAAGGGGTGGGGATAAATTTTAGCGGTCCATACAGCATTGCATGCGAACATGAGCACAGTTGCTGCGTTCTCATTGCCCTACGCCGCTTCCTAGTGAATGGAGTTTGGCATACATGGATTGACTATGAGAAGTTTAATGCATTGGCCCGTAGTGGGCGGACGGAATTTACAGCAGCGGAGTATGCGGCGCCGACACCGTCATGGGCGGTGTTTCGATCAAATGAAAAGGGCTTTGACCCCACACAAGTCCGCGT